CGTCGCTCCACTACATAAACCCATACCATTCGACGAGAGGGTACAATCTCGGGCGAGCCCTCCCGGCACTGAATAATAAAACTGGTGCTTGGCTCTGTATTATTTTGCGAGAGCCCAGCGGAAGAAAGACGTGAATCTGGTCCGATACATTATGAACAGCAGCTGACAACTTGGCGATGACTGAAAAACGAGGAGCACCAAGAAAGAAAAGTCAGATTTCGTGTGAGCTCTACGTTGCATAATAATATGTAAGCTTAATGGTAATAAGTAACCGGTAGGAAATGTGGACCGTTTGCCGTACGGTAAACATGTATATACCAAAGGTTGCAAAAAATTGGAGAATTTTTTGTTGTTCTGTCTTGAGTACCAGAATCCATTCTCGATAAGCACGTCCCTGCGAGCCGTTTGTTTCGTCATCGCACGCGAGAGTTTATTGGCAAATGATCCGCGGCTTATGCGAATAAAATGAAGCTTGGAGCCCTATACAATGTACCCGCCGAAGAAACAAATCTTTCCATTTGTCAAGTCGCACGTAGCTCGCACGTAAGTGTGTGGGTGTGCTTTCGCGTCTACTTACAAAAATATGAGATGGAGCTTTACGGTAGAGGATTCAGCCAAAATTCCAGCTGGCCTCTCAGAGCTTTTCCAAACTTTCCCAGGGTGAACAAACATGGTCGTAATTTATTCTAAATCTTGCGCGTGATTTATCGACGGGATTACCAACAAAATGCTAAGAATAACCCGTTTACGGGGGGAGGGGGTTGAATGTTTCGTAGCGAACTTTTGCGTGTGGGCGGATTCAACGACGCGTCATTAGCGGGCGGAAAAAATGATGCGTTTTTGTTACTTCGATAATGAGGGATCGTTAAAATAACGACGATAATCATGGCTCCTGGGAGATTTTAATTACATATTGATGTTACGCTTTGTGGATATGATACGAGTGGTCTAGCGTCTTTGAGGTGATCGAGGAACGTGGAGTGATATCGTTATCGATCCTACAAAGCTCTCGAGCTTTATTTAGCTCCGCACTCGTTAAAATCTATTCAAGTTTTGATCGTACGGGCTTTTAATGGATACATGTGTAAATTATCAGCACGAAAAAAAAAATTACTCCACGTTATATTGTTTTGTGCATCAACAGTTGTTGTATTCACGTTTTATGTGAAACAACGATTACAACACATTATGTTGAAACTTTAATTATGTACAGGGGAAAATTTTCAAAGCTCTAATCATCTCTTACAATCATCATTGAAGCAAAGTTTTTTTAAATTGCCACCATAAACATTGGCACAAACATTTCTCATGAATATTTCCTCATAATATTTTTTTCAATGCTACGTCAATTTGAAGAGTGTAATAGATGGATATTTTGTAACATCTGACATCTGTTATATTGCAAGTGAACTTGTGTTCTGATAAACTCAGTTTTTTTGAGTATTCTCGATGGATTAACAACAGTTATTTTGAATTGATAAGAGAAAAAAAAAAAATTTCATCGCACGAAAAAGATGGCATTTCAAAAATTATTTTTAGCTCAAAGCCGCACGAGCGCCAAATCGTTTTCACACAATTTATTTTATTACGCGAGTAAGCTTTGAAATCGGAACTTTTTCATTTTCCTCCTCTTTTTTCACCAGACAAGAGCTAAGAGGTGAAGTAAAAAAAAAAAAGAGAATAAAGCTCGAGGGGGACGCCGACAAGAACAAGCGCCAACGACGATTGCTCGGCCCGCAAGCACACGCTTGCAAGCACAAATGACACCCTCGCGCCGTGGAAGAAGGAGGGAGCAAGGCGACCGGGAGTTGGAAGGTGAAGTTAAGGAGGCTTCAAAAGCGCTGCAAAAGCAGTTTGGTCGGTTGGTCGCGCTAACTTTCGACGAGCAAGTTATTCGAAAGGGGCCCAGCGTGTAATTTATGCCAGTGGTGGGGGGCCGTGGACTCGTGCAAAGCTCGTTATCCTCATCCCTCTTGGATAAGGCGATGAGAGCATCCGTGGAAGGGCTGGCCTACTTTTTTCTTCCTCTGTTTTTCTCGCGCTAGCTGCATTTGACGTTTACCGAGGCCAAAGATGGAAACCTCATTAGAAATCGCGAAACTCGAGTTGCCGATTTTTACTATGACGTTTGTGTTATTTATTACTGTGAAAACAGTTTTTTTTTTTTTCCAAAAGAGCCAAGGAACGTAGTTAAATATTCTTACTTTGTTGAAGCTGAACAAGAATTTAAAAATTTTTCTGGGATGGACACAAAATATACTAACGAACTTAAGAATTCCTCTTAAAACGCGTATCTCTCACTAATTAATCAGAAATGTCCTTGTACGTTGGTGCAAGGGTGTTACAACAAGGTACTTAATTTTTTCAGTCACAGGATGTACCATCGGAAAACGAGAGGCTAGCACACCGTAAATCTTCTCTTTAGATTCCTCTCGTCTCCATGGGCGTGCACGAGTAATGTTTTTGTCTGCGCAAGGGTGTAAGTGCGTGGGAAGAGCTCGACAATTTTTTCATATTTCACACTTCGGTGCAGAAAGTAATAGAAAACATTGTTACTGCGAAAAGAGTCGGGCGTACATTTTATTCTTTTGTGACAAGATTCACACTACGACTTGGCTGAACTCTATTACGTGCTCCTGTTCTGAGACGCTTGCGTCCACTTTTCTCGACTCTTTTCTTCTCACGCTACTGGTGTTCGTCAAGTAAACGACATCAACGACTCTTTGTAAATTTTTTCTCAACTGGTCTTTCTGTTTATTGTGTAGTACCATCTTTTTTTGCAACCTCCCAAACAAACAAGTACATCTCACACTTGTTCGTATACTTTTAAATTGCTCTTGCTGTTTTTTTCCTCTCCCTAGAAAGGTGCAGAGATGAACGGTGCTTTAGACTGTTCGAGTATTTTTTGATGCTTTATTTGAATTTTTAGTACAGTTGTTGTAACAATGATCTACAAAATTCTTACGTTGTTATTTCAGGTAGGATAAATGGTGTTCTTGATGAATTCCGATGAACAATAGTAGACAACTTTTTGCGAATGCCGTACAAAGATTAAAATTTATACCAGCATTAATATAAACAGACTTTTTATGTATTGTAACTGCAAATCTTTTCTTACGCTTTAATAAAAAGTTAAATAATTGATATTTAAATAGGCTCATAAAATTAACAATATCGCGTAAGAAGTGATCTTTTTTTTGCTTTGCAAATAGTATCTGATATACTGTTTACGTCTCACGCATAGATATACAATAGTTTGCACCAACTGGAGCAAACTTTTGTATTAAGAAATAGACAAAACGAGCCTTGCAGTTATACTTTTAACACTTTGAATCCATACCAAGTATGACAGAAGGCATTTTTCTAATTGAACCAAAACAACTGCTACCTTACTTACAAAAAGCTATTGTGCATAGATAAAATTAATCGATATAACCAAGAAAAAAAATGAATTTTAAATACTTTCTCGTATCTTTTTGAAGATGTACTAATATAAAAAATAGCTCAATTCTTTGCTTTGATCTCTGGCTGCTTAAATTTGTTTTCGCCAGGTTGTCGTTTTTAAAAAATGCCATTTGAGTACTACTTGTTATTATTCAAGGTATTGGGCCATTATTAAAGAAAAATTAACCGGATAAACTACACCTCAATCGAGACTCAACAGTTTACGGGTAAACCCCAAGGCCAAAGAGGTATTAACGAATAAAAATTCAATAACGAAAGTTTGCAACAAGCACCGAAGAGAAGCTGCACCAACGGCTGCGGGTCAGCATTGATTTTTATACCTCGATACCGGCACGTTATACCTACGACACGCCATTATCGGGCCAAGTTTTACGAGGCAAAGTACTCGAGCTCTCTCGCACACGGATTCACACCAACGGGGAGATTTTGCAATCTTCTGTCTTAGCTCACAACGCAGACGCTGCTCCTGGGCCACACTTGCAATCTCCGTGAGGCACAGCAAATATAGTCGAGCTCGAAATTCATAACCAGCTTGCAATTTTCGCACACCGTCGCCTCCCAAGCCCCTCTCGTGTGCACTGCATAAGCCATCCGCCAACCCTTTGATCCCGCATTGTTTACAGCATATAGTAAACGTGCAGGGTTATACGTAAATACTGCAGAAGCAATAAAATTTCTGCAAGTTATACAGATGCATACTATAGGGAGAACTGATTGCACGATTTTAATGATGTACAGTTTTTATATTTTACTCTGCAATAAGTATAGCTATTAAAAATGCAATCTTTGATGCAATGAGATTTACAATGCCTTATGAATTTGTCAAAGTGTCTTGATGGTCATGCTTCATTAAGTATTTGACATTTATGTTGGTGTCACTATTTTTTAAAATATTTCTTTGGTTTTATGTGATTTTTATACACGTTAAACATACGATTATTGAGCTGAATTAATATTAACCATAATTAAAAAGCTCTGCATTAAGGTTTCAATCTGTGTCCTATAATTTATGTGTTTATACAATGAAAAAAAAAAAAAAAATCAACATTATCAAGCTACAACAAAAGGAATAAAAATAAATGTATGTACATTATAAGCCTTTCATAGCCTCTGGATCTTCATATGAGTAATTTTTTAAAATTGTTTGTCGGTTTTAATTATTACCTCTTAATCTTTGTATCATTTTTTCATATCGTTTATCATTAATAATACAAAATATGGTGTGAAACATTTAATTTAATTGTAGGAAGAAAGTGACAGAGAAAACGATGTGAAGTAGTAGGAAGTTAAAGAGAGAATTGTAGAGTACCAAAAGTTTAGTTCACTTTATTGTAATATATCATGGGAAAAAAAAAAAAACCAATTTTCTCTTATTTTGTGATGGTCCAGAGAGTTGTGCTAGAAAGAGAGCAGAGGGTGTCCAAAAGTCCTTAAAAATATATACCATGCAGATAAAATCATAAATATTTGTACTCAATGCTCGTGTATATATTGCATGTATATGTAATAATCAAATTGATTGTTTCGCGTTGCAGACACTTTGAGCCTGGGTGACCGAACAATGGACGGCTCGGAGCGCCACGGGACCGCGAATCGGCCGCGGCAGCAGCTACTCGACGTAGGTCAAAAGTCAAAGCTAGAGCCCGGATTCGACCTCTCGCAACAAATCAACGTCACTGCCCTCGTCGGCAAGACGGCCTACCTCACCTGCAGAGTGCATAACCTTGGCAACAAAACAGTCAGTCGAACATATTTTTGTTTACTTGTGGTTCAAAGCTTTATCATCGGCCTTAATGAATAAAAGTAACTTTTCCGCCCTCGGGTGGTTTTGGGAGGCTGGTACTTCCTCGGGCGAAAAAGTAGTTTTCCGGAACTCGTTCGAAAAGTCTCCTTTACGAATCTCGTTACGGACCTCGCCTTCAGCTCGGGCCGCAAACCTCTCGGTTCGCAAACAAAGACTTTTCAAACTCGTAGGAAAACTACTATTTCCAAAGCATACAAACAAAAAAAGGCTACTTTGCTAATCGTACGGCAAAAATGGTCACTTTTCAAACTTGAAAACAAAAAGGTTACTTTTTAAAGTGTTTTTTTTTTTATCTCTGTATTTTAAGTTGACATGATACGCTGATCATAATATATTTATCATTATTATCCTCAAATTGGGTCGTTTTGTATATTGTATGTAATTACTTACTACGTTAATTTATTTTACAACTGTATTATTAACTTCACTTGATACTTTCAGTGTGAAAATCAGTATATCGAATTTAAATTATTCTCTATTTACTATACGACTCTCAAATCTTATTTTTTCTTATTGTAGACACGTCGTTATGCAGGCGTCATTTGAGTAATATTATCACATTAAATATTTTCAAATCAACGTAGCCAACTTAAAATACGAAGACAAAAAAGTCATTTTTAAAAGAGACCTTTTGTCTTACTACTGGAAAAAGTAATATCTTAGCCTCATACTTAAGTACTTTGAAAAGTAGCATTTTTGTTTATACTTTTTAAAAAATAGCTTACCCTGTTTAGGCCAACGATGTGACCAAACTCTTATAAATTTCACTTATTATTGAATCGAAAAAATGTGTATCACAATTGTGGTAATTCTATAAAAAGATGCAGCTGCTGAAAAACACTCGAAACCGCGCTTAATCGATTGCCTATTCCTACGATATTTACGGTGACGGCTAGACTTTTCTCGCTGGAAGGCGCGTGCCACGCTTCTTTACCGATTTTCCGCTCCAAAAGAAGGAACGCAGCCGATTTGCAAAAGTTCCCAACCAAGGGTGTACCCAACCCAATCCTTCTGCGGGAAGCAAACTTTTCCTCCCGAGTTATAATGTAAATCAAAATGTGACGTGCACTTTATATTTATGTTACTTTCTAAAACTTGCGACTTGGGAAACGTATACATACGCACGATACGCGGCCCAGAAATGGCTTTTTTGACGATTCGTTCCAGATAAATGTAATCTCTGTGTGCCAGTAAAATGATAACCTTTTCTTTAAAACTGTTTGCCCCGAGAATACAAAGTATTGTTGTGGAAAACTTGTGGATAGCTCAAAACTTTCGTCGTTTGTTCAATTTATGCGGACCTTAACTTGTATGAAAGCGATGATATCCTTTTATCACATTATTGCGTTTTCCTTTACAAAAGGTATCAAAGTATTACAAAAAAAGATAAAATAGCACAGTACACACTTGTACAGTAATGGCTCTTATTTCAATTGAAAGGTTCTTATGCGGTAAGATCGAGATTTCATGAGCTATCTCTCAATAAATGGTTATTTTCTTAAATAATACAAATGGGTACATGGTTGTTAAAATACTGGGAATTCTCTTTTTCTGAGTAAAGTATTAAAAAGGTGATACATGGCCGCGATGTTCACATCATTTTTAAGTAATTTATGAGAACGTAGAATCCTTTGTTTGGCTTATTTTTTCTAAATTAGTGCATTTTGTAACTATTACATTATACCAATTAATTAAAACATTTCATTTTCAGTAGAAAATTCTAAAAAATTCAAGAAAAATTTAATCATACGAGTGAAATAAGGTAGGGCCGGGGCAAACAACGGTTCCTTGAGTTACTCTCATCGTTGAACCCTTTCGATTGACCTTACTTCACATAACAATCATGAAACTTCCTATTTATAAATAATCTCTACATGGAAAAACTCTGCCATGAACTAATGCAAAAGCGGTTAGGTTGAAATAAAAACAACAATTACAGTTTTTAGCCATGTGGAACCCCAAAAAAAGTAGAGTTTCCCTAAATCGGTGAGTATCATTTCTAAAAAAGGGTTTTCCCCTCCCAAAATGCCAATACTTTCAAAAACGAGAGCAAAAACAAAGGTACCGCCCCATGATTTTCTCCATCAGTTGGCAAGGTTTATCGAAGCGTGAAATAAACGAGTACCAAGCATCCGGGAAACTCTCGTATTAAATGTCCGCAAAATGCGCAGTAGCACCCGACAATTATCGCAGTCGGTGGGGAATATTAGCAAAAGGTAACGACGACCGACGAGCGGACGGGAAAGCGAACGCAGGGGAAAAAAAAGTGGCAGCGCGGAAATGGCTTCAGTTCCAAACTCCCCCTTGGGACTCTGCACCGATTTAATTACACCAAAATGTTTCAACGCTCGAGGCGCGCGCGCTTTCGGGCTCACCGGGCCGTGTATACCTTTGCGCACTTTTGCTACTAATTAGCGCCGCTGCGATGCTTTTCGGACGATCGCGTCCGTGTGGATACAGAGGAGGACCACTCCCTCTCCCTCCTCGCTCTTTTTCCGCCCGGCATCGCTGCTGTTTCGTAAATTTATTAGCACGCCACTCATTTTCGGCTCGAAACTTTGGCACCGGCGTTTCGAGCTCTGCGTCCCTTGTGCGGGAATTTCCCCGAGGGGCAGGGGGGTAGAAGTTGGCTCGCGCAATTTTATTGGATTTTAAGCGCGAGCTGGAATTTCGCGTGAATTCAGGCGACCGTTTCGTTATCGAGTGATTGTTGGAAATTTCGGTGTACCGAATATTTGGCTTCGGTCAGCAGTCTCCGCTCGGAGGATCCAAACAAGTTAGCAGGGGTTGCTCTGACCTCCAACGCATGTAGACTCAGGGGCTTTGTGCGGTACGTCAGAAGTGACACTCAAAAGTTAGTTGTTTCATCACTTTGGCATAAAAAAACAACTTGTCTAATTGTGATTTCCAACCGGTTATTCGCTCAAAAAACGGTAATGATCAAACTTTGTTGGGGTCCATGGAAACAGAAAAAAAAAAACAGTCGTATTAGTTTGATGGAGATCACATTGACCATAATGATAATAAAACATTTAGTGGCTTAGCTAAAACAGAAAGCTAATTAATAATGCTCGCATTTAATTACCTCTAGGTAGAGACTATATATGAAAACAATGACAATAAAAAACCAGTAGCTCGTTGTTTGCCACTAATCGCCAACATAAGTGCTTTTTCAGTTGTTAAAGCCGATTGGTCCTAAAAGTTTGAAATGGAAACTTGTACAGATTTGGATAAATGGTGGGATGGAAAACGAAAAGGTTAACCTAGCTTCTATAGTATATTTTCGATCATCATTCAGTTCCATGATTCAATAATTAAGAATATAAGGACTCTGTTGCTCTAAATCTATACAGGTGGTAACTGTTAAGACAAAATTGATCAGATATAACTAAAAAGAGTATTCATGATGAGCGAGACTAAGAATAAATGATCCAAATAAGATTAAATTACTGTTTGCACTTTTCAATATAAATTTAATAGCGTATCTATGATTGATATTTGAAACGATTATAATTTAATATGAAAGTAAGTTCCCCCACTCAAATATCGTAAACACAACATTCATGCCTAAGTATGTACATGTACAAGTTTAAAGCAAGCAAGTTTAACATTTAGTTGACCTTTGTACTTGATGGTAATTTGACAATTTTGCAATTTCCTTCTAGCAGTTTTGTATGCTCCCTTTAAATGAAAAGTGTAGGGTTATTAGATAAACTTAGGTATACTGGATTATGGAACAATGCCAACCTAAAAATTGTATTGCCAAGTGGCTAATGCAGATGTACGGGTTTAAAAAAAAAAAAAAAAACTCTGAGACTGCTCAGCTTTGTTGTTTTCAACAGGTGCCTATAGAACATATTGATGCCAAGGATTACGAGCATAGAAAAAAGTTGAACTCTTTGAGGGAAAGAGATTCCAAAATGGTACTTTTAGTTCAAGAAAAATGTAACATATTATTTCTCAAAATCCAACCCTTTGTCAGGTGTGAGAGATCCAAAACTTGAAATCCTACCACTTTGGAGGCAACTATCGTGTTTTCGCAACTGCAGAGATCGGAAGAAGATCTCGAAAGTTTCGATTCCCTCCATCCGCTATACCCTTTTGCTGCCATAACTCCATCACTTGATTTCCCAGAGAACCATTGCATTATCGACTCTCATGATGGGCCCAAAGAAAAACACACGCATATTGTCACTCCCCGCACCCCCAGACCTCCCAAATTGAAATTTCGCCCGAAACGCGGTCAACATTATCGTATTTAACTCGTTGTAGGGTGAACAGGCACCCACGCGCACGCATAATATTATCCCTCGACCCGCGGTCCAAACGATACTGCGCCATTCATTCTATATTAATTGAGTGTAAATCATTATACTCTCATCGCGGCCATCACGATACCATCACTGGCACGCCATCACATAAGCCACCTATGTATAATCGTAAAATACGATAATCGCGTACTATACATGGAATTGCACACGTGAGATTAACAGGGGAGGAGTGGGTATATGCGTATACGTTTTGACGTTTATTAAAGACTAAATTGATTTTCCCCGACTCTTGGCTATATACCCTTCAATTTCGTGCAACGGAAGGGCGAGAGAGAAAAAAAACGACTAGGGCCAGTTATGGGTAGAGCGACGGAGGTGTCAGTCCCGGTGGACGTCATAGGCCGGCTCCCAGCAGTGCTCGCCGTCGAAGAGGAAACGTGTGGTAATTACGAGACGATTTGCCCGCGAATAATCGAGTTTTCTCGGTGCAACTCGGTTCGGGGGAGGGTAAGCGGTCGTCGCTTCGCGGAACGCGACAACGAGAGCCACCCTATACCGCGTATACCTGTGTGAGGGTTGAAGGGGGGCAGGGAGCACAATTTGATCCAGTCTCGCTCCTCCCCCCCGACATCAGCAGTCTTTCCGCCTCCCCCTGGGCTCACTCCACTTATCCGCCTTTCCCGCTTACTTCCCACGGCCCCGAGCACTCCCGCTGGGGTTTATTTTTTCCTTTCCCTCCTCTTTCCTTTTCCTTCTCTTTTATTTTTATCGTCGGACTTTAACGCCTCGTCAGGGGACTATCATGGCGCGGGAGTCGTTGGATTAATCTAACGCGCCGTTTTTATGCGGGCGTGCAGGCGAGGCGCGAAGAGCCAAGCTAAGCTGTGGGTGTAAGGTGCACGCGGTAATTTTGGGCGCGAAGTGGTGAGGGGGTTTTTTCGCTTCTTTTTTCATTGAATGGGTTTCGATGCGTCGCGATAGTGCGTTTTGGGATTGAAATTTTTAATTGATTGATCAACGGAGTTGACATGGGAGTTTGACGATTGACCAGTAAAAGCTGATTTTCAAAAGAAACTAGAAAGTGTGGAAAAGTTTTACAATAATAATAAGGTATCATAATTAGTTCTCAATTTAAAATTAAAAAAAAATAACAATAAATTTCATACGGGCTGAAATATGTCCTAATACATTTTAAATCTCGAAGAACTAAAAAATCTAGCTACACAGATTGCAATGTATCTTAAAACACTAAAGATAAAGTAAAAATCGAATGTAGTTATAAAATTGATACATTTGAGGTATTATTTTTAGAAAAATAGCTATGTCACAAATTGAGGAAATCTTTGTTTAGTAAGTGTCTTATTCCTTTAACGATAGGAATAAATATACCAAGAGGAAAAAAATACATGTTACAATCAAATTAATATAACAACTAGCAGGGCAGATTGTCACAGCCAGGTATTACTCGGGGATAACTTAGAATTTATCGGCTAAGAATATTACGACACTTCACTAACGTAAGAAAGTGATGTTAGATATAATTATTGAACTTCATTAATCCTAATAATTAGATATTATAGAAACAATTACCTTTGAAAAAATGCGGAGGCATTGTATAACCTCAAAAATGATCTGAAAATTCATTAAGTATACGTAAAGCACGTTTTGTACAAAATTTATATTCATTGTAAAAACTAGTAAAATGTATCATTAAAACTTTTTGCAGTGACTTAGTATTTTATGACTTTGTAAATACTCTTAATATTATGGCTCAAGTTATTATAAAAAATAAACAAATTTTTTCACGTTAAAAATGTTTTATGTATCGTTTACAGTAATTGATAAAAGTATAAAAAGAAGCATTTTGAAGGTGCCCGCTTTGAAAAGAGACTGCGAGTATGAAAAAACACTTTATTAATCATTTTACTACAGAAATTATAAGAAACTAATGGTTAAATATAAACCAAACACCTTTTATGTATTTGAGACGTAGTTGAGTGATTCTAAAAAAAATAATCGTCAACTTTTTTATTCGTCAAGTAGACGATTGAAAAATATCCAAGACGGAATTTTTTATAGAAAAAAACTTATTATTTGTTGTTAATTTGAACTCTAGCAAAAATGCAATTTACTGCTGTAGAGCGGGGTTGCCTAAAAAAAAAATATGTATAGCCTTGATAAAAATAAATCAAATAATTACTGTTGCCCGTACTATCTACAAAACTGATTCGTGATTCGTGAGCTTAAGACACCTACTACTAATTTTTTTAACGTTTTGTGAACGATAAATTTTAACTCTGAACTTGAACAATCCTACTAAAACGTATAATGGTGATAGGAGTAAACGTTAAGAAAATACGATATGCTCATAAAAGAAATTACACGATGATGTGGATTTCCACATACAATATTGCTTTTAAAAAATTCTTTATACTTTTATCAGAGTAAAATGAGAAAATAATTTTTTACATTGTACATTAAATTTCAGCTAAATTTGTTAAGGATACTTTTTTTACATTTAATCATTAATTACTAATTGTTTAGTTTTGTATTATATTCGTTGTTATATTCAGAAACAAGGCGAAATTCCGCAAAAAGCTTTCTATTTTTATATCCTACAGCACAGTTGTATATAAGCTAATAATTTATTCTTAGAATTAATTAGAGGAAAGAACTTTACTGGTACCAAAACTAGAAAACTTCTAAACAAGAGGCATTTTTGTAACTTTTTTTTTCACCCGCATTTTAGGTCCATGCGTAGTCGAGAAATACAAGCATCGTAATAATTCAGTTTTCAAAACTCGCGTTAAACAGAAAAAAAGTAGTAGTGTTCTCTAAAAGTAACTAATACTTTTCAAACATAACGCAAACTTAAAAATCATCAAACTCAGTATATTCAAAGTTAGAATAAATTGATAGATGTATCAAGGTGAACTAGTATTATTTTTGAAATATTTGTTTTTCTTACGACTCTTTTGTTGAATAAATTTCATTTATTAGAGGTATGTGTTATTATATAAAAATATACAAAAATCCTTATCTTAGCGTTATTTTAAAACATTACATTGATCTAACATAATAACTCCTATTTTAGGATAGTTAGTTAGAGAAAAAATTGTACAAAATATGCATATTTTTCTTTATTGCTAAAATTCAACCCATTTCAAAAATTACCTGCCAAAAAAATTTTTATTGTATAACAGCCTCCATAATATCCTACCCAATGTGCGAACCCAACTTCCCAAGCAATCTTAAGATAATGGAATAGCTAAAATAATTATTTATTGATTTGATTAAATTTTCAGTATTTTTTTTATAAGTTCAAATATTTATTTTTATTTCCAATTATATTCAAAAAATTTATAACAGCTCATTAAGTATACGATTCTCATTACTTACACACTTTTACGAAAATAAAACATGTTTGTTAGAATGCTAAATAAGAAAGCTAAATAATGCCGATAATTTCACAGAAATCAGATCTTACTCCACTTATTCCCTTCTTGTAAGGCTAAATAACTTTTATTTGTTTGTAAATCGAAAGCATCAAATACTACAGTATCCATCTGAAAAACAATACAAAATACAAATGCATGTACCATCAACGAAAATTTAACGTCATATTTAAGTTAAACTAAGAAAAGAAAATATATAACTTACAGGTTCTAAATCATTACTGCTCTGGACTTCTTTGATATCAGGTAACATTATCCGAAATTTTCTTGGATTCCCTTTCACCGGATACTAAAAGTTAAAAACGAATGAGATTTTTATTAAAATAAGCTTTCTCTACTTTAGACGTTTTTGGGCGTCCACGCCGCAGATGTAAAAAACAGTATTTTTATCCAAAAATTTATAAACTATTTTTGCTACAATTGATACAAAAAATTTTAGGCAGAACTAAAACTTCTTTTTCAGTCTTTGTTCACTTCAGCCTTCGAAATATGCTGGTTTTTCGTAAAAATACCCATGTGTGCACATGTTTTTATAACATGAAGTAAATTTTAATAAACTCCAATTTTTAATAAGTAGATCCCCCCGAAAAGAAAACTGCTGGATCACTCTTTTTAGTTATTTCTATTTGCTTTTAATCAAAATCTTGTGATAAAGTTAATGATTGAAAAGCAATTTAAAAAAAAGTCGCAGTCGACGTTTAGATATAATAATAATTAATTGAATTTTAATTACTCAAGATACTTAAACACAGTCCGTTTTAAAACGTACTCACAGATGTATAAGGCCCAGAGTTTTTAAATAAATTGATACCAATGAGCCAATATAATATTTTTTGTAGATGCGCTCACAAAGGCATAAATATCATTGTATTTTTACAACGGGGAACTCGTTCATCATATCGAGTTTCACGCATTTTATAAAAAAAAAAAAAAAAAAAAAATTATACTATTACTTACAGCTCCGGGCACGGAAAAGTTTTTGAACTGCGGCATATCCGGCACTTCGAACACATATTCCCTCATCCTACGATCCGTTGGAAGACCTTGAACTACATTCTGAAAATCAGAGAAAACGTGGATCATTCGCTTATTGACATCATTCGAGTAATGCGCTGTGCAAAGATATAGGATGTGTCAAGAGCTGGTTAGAGAGCAGAATAAGAAAAGCACGCAGATGTTTCAACGTTTCGTTGGACATGACATAGCTCTCGACACATTCTGAGCGTATGTTCACCGTACTAATAAGAAATGGATAAATATCAATTGTAGCAAATTCGAACATCTATAATGGCATTTATATGAGGAATTAGATATACTATAGAAATATATTTTTTCTATCTTGGGGAGTTTTTGGTAATACTTGGCCGTTTACTGCTTCCTCGATAGAAACAATAGTGTTTGGCATACTTATATACGTGCTATCCAACCGGGACTACCCTACGGCCCGTATATTGTATGTATTTTAGTATTCTTGATATTACAACTAGGTTTAAGTAAAGTATAAAGGTAAACTATAAGTATAAGTCAAAATACTTACCTTTGCCGTGTATAATCCAATAGTGATAGTTAAGGTAAGTATCATCAGGAGTTTCATTTTGCTTTAAATAAGAGAGAACTAATGATATTACCAGCTCGTGCGTGTAAGCTCTCGTATTTATAAGTGAATGTTAACACGTCAACTCTGCAAAACTGTTAAGGACACAATGAAGTAGGCAGAGGCAGAGATTGAGAGAGAGAAAGAGAGAGAGAAAGTGAGAGTGGGAGGAAAAAACTACCGAGGAAAGAATGAGAAACAAACCGATCGTCAATTAGCCAATCAGCAATAGCTACGCAAGCTCACAAAAATGGAATATCACTCACTAATACTAAAACTCTAAATGCCAAACGGCAATCAATAAAACGTTTGAATATAAATGTGATAAGGAAACATTGGTGCATTTTTCAGCTAAATACTTTCTTCACGTCAGATTATAATTTTACGCTTTATGTCCTCTCGAATGATTTTAAGTACATTTAAAAACGAGCTAAAATCGAAGTGGTTGTTCATTAAATGAGTTATTACAGGTGACAAAAGTCGTGATCACCGTGGTATTAACGTAATTATTTTATCTATGCATATCATGTTTATAGGAATATAGTTTTGTCATGTGAGTTGCGTATAAAAAAGTGTTATCTCCACTGCAACCGTGATCGTGATTTTTTCCTTACAGAACATGACATTGGTACGATTTAAAAAAAAAAAAATTGTTTTCAACCAAAGACAAACTCAAGACATTTTTTTGTGGATTTACGCATGAAAAATTCAATGAATTTTATTATTCGGTGAGCCTATGATAGAATGATCGACGTCTTTTTAAGACTCTGAGAAGTGGGAGTCCAGCCAAAGTTGCTCTAATTGGCAATAAGCTATTTACAAGCAACCATCAATCATTGTGCACTAAATCGTGATGTTTTCAACAGTTTCTACAGGCAACAACAAATATCTGAAATTTCAAATAATCAAGTAATGACAAATATTTCAATTTTAAAATTACTGCAAGAAAGTAAGCTGTGACTGTTATAGATGAAATTAACACTACGAAAGGCAGTCACTTGATGCCTCATTTATAAGATTGTAAAAGCAGTCCATCGAGAATCAGTTTCAAAGAGTTTTGCTAATATCTCTTTGTAAAGATAAAAGCATGGAAAGAATTGAAACCAGTTGAAACTATATCACCTTGCAAAACATTTTACTTGATCATAAGAATAGATTAAATGGATGCACTTTTTGCTAAATGACAAAAACGCAATGGTTCAAACAAAATGAGAAAAAATTTACGGTAGTTGAAAGTTGCGTTGCGCAAAAGTGAAATCTTTCTGTGCGTCCAAAGGACAGAGACGATAAAAGAGGGATGTGCCAGTGCATTTGCGTTAGCGCACTAAGAAGATTAAAGGGAATGTTTTCGAGAAGACTCAAAGAATAAACCGTAGTGGTGTCCTTATCCCTTTTTTCTGGCTTATGTGATGTACTCGAGCGACTGCTGTTTGAGCTATCGCTTTTATGAAAATTAGTTGTTCTTGAATACAATGAATATGTCTAAAATTTTTCTACTTTTTGATATCTACATAATTTATTTGTATACGTTTCCGTTGTTCATAAAGCACTTATGAGATAAAAATGGGGTCGTTTTGATACGTGTAAAAAACGTGATCCAGTGAAAATTCTTTATTTGTAAATTGCTGTTTTGAACTTGTGGCTCTCAATTTTATGCAAAAAGTCAGAGAAAGAACCTCAAACGTTCGCGAGTTTTACTTAAATGTGGTTTTAAATTACATTTAACGTCACGAAAACATATCACGGTTCATGTATTTTTTGATTTGCAGGTCACAAGTAGTTTGTAATAACAATAATTTCATATTTGTTTGCAGGTGCACGTGTAAATATTTTGTAAATAAATCATACAATTTGATTCTTTTTATTTAACAAGAAAATTTTTTGTGTCTTTTTATCTAATTATTTATTTTCTCTTTATTTGCTCGTTTGTAAATTTTTCTAAACATTCTAATGGAGAAAAAAAATTTGATCAACACTTTAAATTGGAAAAATCATTAACGTGTATATTTCGACATTTTTGCAAACGCAGTTACAAACAAATAGAAGCTTAAATTTTAAACGTGAGCCAGCCTTATATGTTTTCATTTCAAGTTATGTAATGACTTCAACATTGATGTTTTTTCTGCAAAGATAACCCTACACAAATTTTTAATGGTGCTGTCACGTATATGACCGCTACAAAATTGTGAAATTGAGACGATAAATGTCAGTGGCAAAAGTAAAAATTAATGTCTCACTCATAAAATTATTTTTTTTTGTACGATTAAAGTCTAGTTTTTCATACTAAGGAATCCAAGGAATTTTTGACCATAAAATCGGAGACTATAAACATTGCGAGATGTTACTTAGAGCATGTACTTAAATAAGCGACAATAGTTTGAAAAAGTTTAAAAATTTTCTAAAAAATAATAACATTTAAAAAACAATCAATTTAAAGTCTTAAAAAAAAAGCTGATTATTTTCACCAATTTATTAAATTTTGGCTCATTATTCATATAAAAATATTGTTGTACAATAGTTTGAAGTTAAAAACGAACAGGTATGGAAAAAAGTGAATTTTATTTTAGACGGGGGCTTTGGTAAGCACAATGTCACGCGTCTCGTCATCTACAAGGCAATCACGTATTCGCTGACGGACACTTACTGTAACATTGGCTATTTTTTTTCTCTCTCACTTCCTATTTCATAGGAGCAATGTATATTATTTTCCTGATACTAGCAATAGGTTGATTCGTCATATTTTTTACGCATATGAGGAATTCTCCTTTTACTTTTCACTTTTAGGATACCCAAAAGTGCCAAATTTAAATTTTAAGCTGTACCTCTTTAATAATTTTTTTTTATTGTTGGTAACCTAAACAGTGAAAAAAATTTCAAGAACACGCAATTCAGGTCTGCACATTTTTTTCAGCATTAAATGTAAAATAATATCAATGTTCGTTAAAACAATGGACGTATTTATATCTTTCGGACTAATTAACGTGAAAATGTCCTTACAAAAAATAGGCAAAACATCTTTCTCACTATTTTTGAGATCACTCTTTTTAATGGTGCAGTTTTCATTTTTCTAATATCCCGTTTGTTACCATATTTTTGCAAAATAAAATGAAAAAACACCAATTTTCCTTTTTTTCCGGATTTTTGGCATTTCTCGATTAATTCATGATATTTCCCTACAGTAAAGTGCGTAACTAGGGTCTGGAGTAAAAAAAATTTACTTCTTAGACCCTATTCACGCACTTTACTATAGAAAAATAGTATGAAGTATTCGAGAAATGTCTAAAAACCGGGATAAATAGGAAAATTGGTGTTTTTTCATTTTATTTTGCAAAAATATGGTAACAAACGGAATATTAACAAAATGAAAACTGCACCATTAAAAACAGTGACCTCGAAAATAGTGAGAAAGATGTTTTGCCTATTTTTTTTAAGGATATGTTCAATAACTAAACAAAAATCAAATAACTATTTACAAAGTTTGGAATATTTAGAAGAAAAAAAATGTTAGAGACTCTAATTTCGTACAAATATGGACAAAAATCATTGCTGTGTGATGAGACATAATTTCTGAAAATTACATTAATCTCATAATCCAAAATACTTACACATATACATGCACGCACACATACGTACACACACAATACATATATTTTTCTAAATTTTTATCTTAATTCGTCACACTAAAAGTATGTTCTTCTGTTAGTTATTAAAACTCTAGACCATCACAAAGATTTACAAAAAAGCGTTAATAGCCAACAATTTTATAAAAAAATGAAATTCTAGACATTTTTCACGAAAATTATTTTATACGTTGCCTCGTTTTTTGCTGATTCTACAAGTTTGACCGTAACTTAATTTTCAGAATTCGGCTGAAGGACCACCAGTTGGAGGAAAATTATGAAAGTAACGAACGTTTACGTCCTTCGTACATTGCAATGGGAAGGAACAACAAATTTCAGCAATTAATTTTATAAGTTTGCTATAATTATGAAATGACGTTCATTTTTAATAAGTCATGTGTTAAATCTTCTGAAAACCTGTTTTATTATCATCAAAAGTTTATTGCATTGAAAAAAATTTCTTAGTATCAAAAAAACATTCAATAGAATAGTTCTAAGTAGAAATTTTTACAATGTTTTTTCTAACTTAGAATAAATATTTGTTTTAAGTTAGAAAACATTTTTAATGGGTTAAAATATTATCATGGTTTAAAAAAATACTTACAATTTTACCAAATATGATTTTGGTTCTAAGAAATGTTCTTTTTTTTTTTTTTTGTCCCGACGTACTAACATTACAAATTTTCTAACTGAAAGAATTCCCAACTATGACTATAGGATAAAAAATTTGCAATAAATGGAAACTAATGTTAATTTAATTAAAGAATAATTTATTTCACTCATCTTATAATTTATGTCGGATGGACATGTTTAGTGTGCAATGCAGTCAGTAGTAAAACGGTATTAAACAATGAAACTTTCGCAAACAGCAGTAAGATAACCTGACTTTTCTAACAGTTGCAAAAATTAAATTATTGTAGATCTCACTCCTGTGCAGACATGTAAATTTGAATGTGTGACAGATATTATTCACTACTAAAGTTTGTAAATTTAATTGAAAATATAGCAATACAGGATTTAATTATTGGCGCTTTGAAACTATGAGTTCATCTACTTTTTGGTTCAGTACTCGATGGTAACGACATAACTTAAACGCGGCAGCTGGGGCAGGTCTTAAAGTTTGTGACTATTAGTAGCACGCAGTCGAGTACGTAACTCTCGCTCTCCATCTCTGTTTTGAAACTTTACGGATAGGTTTTGTGTAACACGTCTCTACTTGTAAAGATTGACTTCAACTTCGATGATGTACTAAATTTAGAGAAAATTACCATCAGAACTTATTCTACGGTACAGCTATGACATTTTGCTCGTAACGTAATGAAACGTCGTAGCCTATACTTGTGAACCGATGGTCAGCTTTTCCATCCCCAAATGCCCCGAAAAATCAATTTTTAAGACAAAACGGGATAGACAACGAGTTCCGCATCTCTTATCTTCTTTCTTACCTCCCTTAAAATTCGTCTCGTCTCAAAAGACCCGTACATGCAACTACTATAAAAGTTCGTCCTAAATGAAGACAAGGGAGACAAGAGAGCAGTAAAAAAAGAGGTCGCCTACTACGGACTCCCTCTCCCTCTCTCTCTCTCTCTCTCTGAGTTTGGCAGAATCCCGTGGCTCATCAGACGCGCAAAGCATCGTCCAGCCAAACCACGCCTCTCTGCAAAAAACTGCTGATGTGGCTGCATGTCTGTCACAGTGCAAGCATATGTGGCTTTATCCCTCTATCGCATATGTCTATTTGCAGACAAACAAGTCTCGATGGGCCAAATATACATAGGTACTTTATCCGACCGTATGGATAATGGATCCCATGAATCCCAGAAAAGTGTTATTTCCTGTATA